TAAAATATATTCTGCTATTATAATCGTTTTTCTAATTTGTGATCTACAGACATGGGAAAGCCCTTAATGAAAGCGAACAGTGGAAGGACACGGCCACAAGAGGGCGCGCCAGTAACGTCCTGCCGCGGTGACTGGTAAGTGAAAGGTTTGTTATACGACAAATATTATCACATGCAGAATTTGAAAACTCTCCAAATTTAGCTTTAAAAAAATTATTAGCATCCGTTTTCTGCATAATGTGCGCTTCTAGAATGCAACATATCTGTTTCAATTACATTTTAGCTAAATACCTGAAAGTCATGAGTGAATGAATCGCTTACCGGTTACTGTATGTCTCGACATACAAACGAATGCAACAAATATAAACTCATCACAACTAACACCCTGTGGTCAGGGTGGAAGGGACCTACAATACCAGTAATAAAGCTTGTTAACCTCAATACAAGGTCGAACACGCCTTGAGGTCATCATCGTGAGCGTAGCTTGTATTGATACAGGTGCGTAAATAAAGGTTAAAAACGAATAAAGGTCAGACGGGAGGTCGGTGTGGTGGAGGACTGAGCCTCAGAATCTATTCTTTTTTAAATAGATAGATAAGATTTTATTGTCCCCAGAGGGGACAGCACTCCTGCACATTTAAATAGAATGCAAACGAAAAAGAGAGAAGAAAAGCATTGCACATTATTCTATTACAAAAAATAAGAAAAACATTGCACATCACTCTATTGCACATGTATAGTATAACACATAACAACATGTAACATTTATAACACATCACAAAACATATTGCATTCAAGTGGGTTGTGAGAGTCAAAATTGTGTTTATCCTTCACATTTGCATTGACAGCTTGGATAGTGGAACAAAGGAATGTTTGTATCTGTTTGACATACATTTTGGAACCCTAAAACATTTGCCAGAAGGAAGAAGTTGATATTCAGAGTTGAGGATGTGGGAAGGATCTGATATAATTTTTTCTGCTTGTTTGATTATGGATTTTTCAAAGATTGTTTGCAGGGAGGGGTGCTGTTTCACTCCCACGACCTTCAAAGCTGTCTGGATGAGATGAGTAATTTGCGATTTAAATTGAACCGATAGATTACCAAACCACACTGAAATACCATATCCGATTAATGCTCTCAATTACAGCACAGTAAAAGAGTAGGATTACTTCCTGTCGGATCCCAAACACTCTTAGTCTTTGCAGGAAATATAAGCGCTACTGAGCAAACACTCTCAACATGAGTAGACCAGCACAGGTTATGGTCTATGTGTACACCTAAGTACTTATATGAATCAACCTGAGTGATAAGTTCGTTGTAGATTACTACCTGTGAGTCATCACCAACTGTTCTGGGATCGAAAACTATTTATTTTATTTTTTTAGCATTCAAAATTAGGCTGTTGTTGTCATACCATTGCACAAATCTTTGAGTTTCTGACATGTATACAGATGAGCTGCTACCTCTATGCATTAAGCCAAGAACAGCTGTATCATCTGAGAATTTGAAAATGAAGTTGCTTTGACTACTGCTTGTACAATCATTTGTATAAAGTGTGAACAGAACTGGAGAGCTCACACAGCCCTGAGGGCCACCTGTGCTGATAGATCGTGACTCGGAAAGAGTTTTGTTGACCCTGACATACTGTGTGCGAATGTTACCATCTTATAATGTTATGGTTAATGGACATTTGCTTCAACTTACTTATCAATAGATGGGGCTGCAGAGTATTAAATGCAGAGCTGAAGTCCACAAACAGCATCTGAGCATAGGCGTTGGGGTGCTCTAGGTGTTTTAGAACATCGGTGCCCCGCTGGTGTTTATATGCAAACTGATATGGATCCAGTACAGTGTTCACTTCTGAACACAGCACGGATACCATAATCCTCTCAAAGCATTTCATCACAACAGTCATCAGTGCTACCGGCCTGTAGTCATTGTTATCTGAGGGACAATAAATGTTTTTGCAATGATATTTAGCTAAGAAATAAAGTACTATATGAGGTCTATGCACATGGAGAAGAGAGGAAAACCATCGGCCATTGTTGGATGGCTTTTTAAATAAAAGTATGAAACCAGCATTTTTTATAACCTGCAAACATTTAGGTTTGATATCACTTCAACTAAGGAACCGGCTGACTCAATTAAAAAAAAACAACACAACACAAAGTGCAAGTAACTAAACGGGGTGCCTTGTGTGTTTAACGGGGTGGTGGAGTGGCTCTGTGGCTCAGGATCTGCGCCTCTGGCTGGAAGGTTGCCGGTTCGTATCCTGCCGTCAGCAGAGGAATCCTACTCCATTGGGCCCCTGAGCAAGGCCCTCACCCCAGCTGCTCCAGGGGCACCGTATAAATGGCCGACCCTGTGCTCTGACCCCCAGCTTCTCTCCCTGTCTGTCTGTCTCATGGAGAGCAAGCTGGGGTATGCGAAAAGACAAATTCCTAATGCAAGAAATTGTGTATGACCAATAAAGTGATCTTATCTTAAATCAGAATGATATTTGTGGAGATGTCTGCTGTGTGTGTGGGGAGGGGTGTTGCTTTTCATAAGCAAAGTAATTATATTAAGATGTTTTTTTTTTTGTAAGTCTCTTAAAAAAGCTTACATTTGCATCTCAAGAGCAGCATTATTAGAGAGGCAACTGGGGGCTCTGGGGGGCCCTGTCTGCCTGTAAAGCAGATCTCCCCTTTGGGACGATGAAGCAGGTGAGCCCAGGCTGATCAGGCCCGAGAGTGTGTCAGGTGTGGATGTCTTAGGGGGCAGGAGTGCAGTACTACACAGACCTGTCTGCGGTGCATCCAGGAAGAACAGGGCAAGAAAGGTTGAGCTTTAAAACCCAGAAAAAGAACACTGATGAAAAGCAGCTCTGCATTAGTTTGGCACCCAAGCAAGGATCTTTCATTTTTTGCAGTGTGGTCAGAACTGTCTTGACCATGTTTCCAAGACCGCCAGTATGAGGTCCTTCTATCTCAGTGACGATTTAGACTGCCCAGGTTCAAGTACTATAGCACCGAGTTATCTTTTATTCCCAAAGCTATTAACCTGTTGGTTAATCGATTGTAAATTTTACTTTATTTTCTTTCTTTCTCATCATACACGTACAGTACGTGTCTTATTTGTTATTGGTTTCATGTTGTGTTAAATGGATTGTGTTGTGTCTTTTACGTGCCTGCAAAGTAATTTTCCCATCTGGGACAGTTAAAGGAAGGAAGATTGTGAAAGTGCCCATTGTCCTCGTGGTCAGGGGTTGAAAATGAAGGATGGTTAAAATTACAGAGTACAGCAAGTGTGAAAGGTGACAGTGTGTCCGTTTCTTTGATTCCTGTGGGTAGATTCAGCAGGTCCAGTGGTTATCGAGCACATGATCATGCAGTGTTGCTAAGAAACGTTTTTCATGTTCGTCATTTGGGTTAGTTCTGTTCTTTGTACACCCCCAGACTGGTCGGTCAGTCTGTCTGTCTTGCATAAATGTACACAAGAGAGCCTGAGCCAAAACGGAGCATAGTTCTTTATCCATAACACTGAGTCAGCCAGACAGTGGAAGCCCATATGAATAGATCTATTATAAAATATGGGAGTTGGTCAAGTCTGAAGGAGAAAAGAAAAGGGATCAACAAACACATGAGTCAGCCCACTGTAAAGCACTTAAAGGTAGAATCTCCACTGCCTGGAATCCCCCATATGCAGGTAAGTCTGACGTCACATCTCATGCCAGAGTTTTCCACAGCTTGGGGGCAGTGGGGGTGGTCGCCTGTGTTTTCAGCTTCAGGAGTAAGACACAAACACAGCCTACCAGCGTGGGTGAGGCTTGTCTGGTCGTGCCCAGACGGGATGAATGTGCTTGCATCGTGTCAAACCCGGCTGTTTAGGTTTTTTTTATTGCACGTGCTCTTTGCACAGATTCTAGATTTTGAGTACAATATATTAAATCACGCGTATCCTCAGACATTTACAATGCATATGGTAAGGGTTCAGCATATTATTCAATTAAAAGTATTGAAAATCAGTTTTTAATCACTTGTGCAGTCCCATCAGAACTCCCTGCCAAGCATGATTTCTTTATATAGTGTTATAATATGCGTCAAACTGGGAAACTAGTACTGCAGTCCGCATGGACCAAGCAGATACAATCCCGGGCGTAACGGAATGTCATTCTCTGACAGCACCGAGCAGAGCTGTGTGGAAAGCTGCAGAAGCACGGAAGTTTATTTAACAGGCGTTGGCAATGGAAGGATTACCTGGGCAGGGCTGTACTGTTGTGGGAGATGGACACGGGTCCAATCAAATGGAAAAGCTGTATTGCCCTCCTATGTACTGTATTACTTGGGTCACTTGTAACATAATTTACAAAAGAGCTAAAGAATATAGAGAGGTAACATACAGGAGATACACAGTGTATACTGGTAGTTGAAATGATCAAATCAGAACAGTTCAAAATACTTTATTCATCCCCAAGGAGGTAATTTAAGCAGCAAGCAGTGCAACATTCGCCACACACCAAATAAAATAACGTTACTGAGAAAAAAAGAGCTTCTTCAGCCTACACACTGGTCTCATTGTGGACACAGTTCAATGTGAGGAGCTTGTGGGGCTGAGTGATCCTGTTAGAGTCACACTGGTATAAGATAGACTACCACAACTCTGCAGGCTGCAATAGCATTCCAGGGATTAACATACCTTTCCTTTATAAGAAAAAGAACATGCACTAAGAGGGGTTTATTTAAATTTTTTTATTGTATAAAAATACAAGGCAAATAAAAAACATATAACAATTTTGCTTGAAGCCATGAAAAACAATGAAAAATATCAAAAGGAATCAATAATTTACCATTGAAATAAAATAAAAGTAATCATTTACCAGGTAGTTGTATACTTTGCTTAATCAATCATTATGTAAATATGGAAACATCTGGTGTTTTATTAAATAAAATAACCAGAAAACATCAAAGAACATCTACTGTATAATAATTTAACATAACCAAATAAATACATTCACTTAAAATATCCTTGAATTGACATGTTTTTAAAAATAAATCCTAAATCCTTCTGATGATTTCTTAATTTAAAAGATACATTTCACATGACTTGGTAATTGGTCTAACAGCCCAGAAAGTAGTTGGTGTACAAAACACGAAGAGCCCTTCTCGTATAGCTGTACTCCATCATGTATTGTCCATTGAAGAGGTACGTAAAACCTGGAAAATAGGAATTGCCATAAGTTAAACAAATACAATGGATTATAAGTGTGACCAATGACAGCTGTGTTAGTGAATACACACCAATAGCAAAATCACGCAGACATTAAATATCCTTGTAGAAAACTATTTCGGAATTTGGAAATATCTTATATGAGATGTCTTGAACAGATCAGGCAAAAATGTGCTTTATTGGGGAAGATTATTTGTATAGCCCCAATTTTTTTTATTCTTAAAAGTAAGTGAAGTAGTAAAAATAATTCTAATTGAATTACTTTTCTTTTCAATGTTTGTTGTTTTACATTAAACATAGTAACCGTTTTTGACTTAACTTATGTCACATGTTTGTTGTTTGTAGTCAAAAAGACACCTGTCAAAATGACTGTTCTGTAAGTGATTTCTTCCTACTTGTCAGGGAAGACACATACCTCTGTCTTGTAAGGCTGCATCAACTTTATTGCCAATTCCAGGGAAGACGTCCTTAATGGATTTTGGGAAGCCTTGGTCCACCTTCCTGGTGGCCTCATCATAGCTGTGACCACAGACAGAGACCAACAGGTGAGAAAGGATCTAGCAGCAGGACTCAGAGCATCTGGTTCAGAGGTTCTGATGTTTGACATTAAAAGGTCTACCTGTAGATCTGGTTGCCAGTGAAGAAGAGGGCTTTGCGAGACTGTTCATCGTAAACAGCAGCATCAATCTTGGTCACACTCCGTGGGAGGCCCAGAGTGGTAATGCTTTTGGGGTATCCCTGGACAATGTCATATCCAAACAGAGCCCACACCTGGTTTCCTGCAGAAAATCACAGATGAGCATCTTCATTCATATCTTTCCTTACCTTTATATGGTATAGTATGATATCATATACAGTATGTGATGTAGACATTCATTATTGCAATTTGGATCATATGAGGTACCCTGTAACATCTTCTCTGATGCCCGGTTAAGACTGCATAGTCACAGCTGTCTGGTGCACTTCACTTCACAGACAGAACATACTGACCTTTAAAGAGATACACCCTGTCACTTTCCAGGCTCTCGTAGGCTGCGTCGATGTTGTCAGGAAGCTCAGGCCAGAAGTACTTGATTCTGTGTTGCTCCACTTGGGATGACTGGCTGAAACTGCGCCAAAAGAAACTAAAGAGAAAGACACACTTTTAGTCAGGTGTCTGCTTTATTGCCAAACAGGAAAACTGCTTTAAATTTCTTTTGAAAACCCTTTCAAACCATATTTTAGTAAAGCCAAGTCTAATTTCCTGATTTAATATAGTGTAGAAATCCTGTTGTATCACATTCAACTTTGAGGGGATCTGCAGAAGTGCTCTGTTTTTCTTTATCCTTAACCCTGCAAGAAACAGGACGTGGTGTATTCCTGCCATTAAAGGGGCTGTAAACACAGAAACACCCAGAGCCTGTTTCCTTCGCTGTATAGGAATGTACGTGGTTGTTGTATTTACCTGCCCTTGAAGAGTATCTTCTCTCCTCGCAGGGTTGTGGCGGCGTCCAGGGACAGGCGGGGGTCACAGGCGTTGGGGGTGGTTGGGCCTGGGTTGGGGTCAGGGTTGCCTCCGTCCACATCTGGGTTTGGGCCTGAGGGTCCACCAGATGAACACCAATCAACACGGAGCATGGAAATGTGTCTCTTTAATTCCCTCTAGAAATTATACATTGATTTCTTACCGTAAAGGAACTGTATTCCTTTAATGTCATCCTGAGGGAGGGAGAAGGTGTCGGGATCCACGTAGCTGTAGACGGGGAACATCAATGCCCCAGGGTCGGTGGAGTGGGACAGGCCCAGAGAGTGGCCAAACTCGTGGGCCGCCACCAGGAACAGGTTGTACCCTGCAGGAGAGATCGTTGTACACTCAGAATGGGTAATGGTGTGTGTTCAGAAGAGAAGTAAGGTTCTATAAAAGGACTTTCTGATCCATCTGAGCTTTTGTTAAGCATCTGAGCAAAATAGGGTCTTTCCTCGCGCAGAAATGCGCGGTTTGGTTCAAATGGCTTTGGGGCATCTGCTAAGCAGATAATATCAATAAACTAACCACTATCAGAGGCCAACAAGGCGATAAGGCATCACAATGTGCTTTCAGACAGCTTTGCTCCCAAGATTGGTCAGAAGGAAATTCCCACACACAACACTCCTCTCAAAAATGGGTCCTCGCCTCTGGCTACTTACCCATGGATCCGCTGGTGAATGTTTCGTCCTCATCAAAGTGGGCATCTCCACCGATGCCCTCGCTGGGAGCAAAAGCATGAGCCAAAGTACCGTCTGGTCCATCGAAAGGGTAGTAATCGCCGTGAACTACAGGCGGAAAAGAACAGAGCTCAGCTGTGCCCCAGCCCCGGCCCGGTTCAAGATAAATAGTGAAGCTGTAGCTGGCAGTGCTAAAGCTAGAAGCAGACCTTTTCGTTGTAAAATTAGAAAAACATGCTACTAGGCTAATTAACGTTTCATGCAAAAAAAGAAAAAGATTTCTCCTGATCGAACTTTGGCACAGGTAACATGTGTGAGGAGGTTTACCTCCGGCCCCAAAGGAGATCATGATGTCAGCGGTGCCGCTGTAGATCCGGGTGAAGCGCAGAGGGGTGACCTTGGCCCACACTTGGAGAGCTCTCTCTAGGGCTCTGTCCACGTCCTGCACTGCCATGTCCGGCGTGTAGTTCTCAATCCTGCAGGCATTCATTCAGAATCAACCCAAAATGCCCCTTTTCCCCAGAGCATCAGCATTTTTCAAGATTTTTCCTGTTTATATGCCTTTTGTACACACTGCTACCAGAGCAGCTTTAGATGGCATTAACATACTTTAAACAAGTCTATTAAAAAGTTTTAGGAGTGTTAGAAAGAAAAAAACGTATATCCGATTTAAGCTCGGTATTTTTAATATGCCACCTAAAGTCTATTTTGATGTGCAAGTGCATCACACTCTGGGTCAAAATATATTTAATAATGAGGCCCTACAGGGTCACGGTGGCAACACCATGCCGGAATGGGGAGCCAGTCCACTCATATGCAAAGAGGGGGCAAGACAACGCTGGGAAACCTGAGTAGTCTCTCGACCATGGAGGAAGCTTATCTGTATTGTAACTTACCTGTATGTCAGGCTGGTTTTTGGCCACTTGATATTCCCTTGGAATGTAGAGTACTGGGCTACATCAGGGACTCCACAGCGAGGTTTATTCATCATCTGCATTGTGTCCGAGTCCAGGGTTCCGGTCACCTTCAGCCCAAAGAACCTCTGCATCTCTCTCACCTTCTCAGTCATGGGGCTGATCCGGCGTCTCTGGATGGGTCCCTCCGGAGTGGTGAGGTTAAAGAACCTCTTCAGATAGGCCTGCCGAAGAGACGAGGGTCACGTTACAAGCACAGCTCTCGCTGCCTTTTGGCTATGCATTGTTTTTTTTAAATGCAGCGTTTGTATCAAATTGGATATTAAAAAATAAGGAAAGTCAGCACTGTGATGTCAAGGAGCAGCAGGTGTCAGGAGAAGAAGCTCGAGAGAGCCAAGCCAGTAAAGGTTTACCTCTGCCACCTCCTCATCGTTCTTCGCAGTGCTGGGAAGCGCTATGGGGAGGGAGCAGGCGGCGGCCGCCAGACCCAGGAGCAGCAATGCGCTGAGAGTCTTCATCGTTCCTCGGGGAGCTGTGGGTTCTTGTGTTCTGCCTTCTGGAACCCTTGTCTCTTTTATAGCCCAAGTGTCTGGACTGTTGTGAAACAGGTTTAGTCATGTTTCTCAAAGTCCAGTGAGTAAACTTCAGGAAGGAAATTTTACACCCTGTTTTGTCATCGATGAGGAAATCATTAAGCAGTTCCCACTATAATTATTGAAAAAATATTTTAATTAAAAATAGATATATAACACGTGTATATAGTTGATGAAGAGTATACATGTGGCACTCTGATATGATGGAAGAGCTTTAAAATTAAAGAAAACTCCAGCAATTTAGTTCAGTCCACCAAAATTCACTCGGGTGTGTTGAAATAAAACAATAAAGGGAAACGTCCACAAAATGTCAGCTCTGCGTATCTTGCAGGGATAAGTCAATGGTGTGAACTGGTGAATTAAAAGCTTCTAAAATGCTCTCCAGGTAAGAGGAGAGAGAGAGTCTTTATTATCCCCAGGGGGCATTTTGTTTTGCAGCAGTAGGCAATTAGAAGAAAATCACAGAAATAAACAATACACATAAACACACAAGAGAATCCTCTCTTGAGCAGGGTTATTTCACAGGAATAAATGAGTCCTAAGCCTGTTTAATTTTAGAGTGGGAAATCTGTATCTGCATTTTGAGAAGAGTAACTGGAATTCATTAAAGGAGGGAATATGCTTTATTCACTTGTAACTGATGGACATGGGGAGACGCTTCGTTTTCAACACTGTCTCCTGCTGCTGCACAGTCTCCTCCCCAGGCTGGGGAAGCCCTTGTGATCGCGTGCGGTCTGTCCCAGTGCCATCCTGCCCTTCTCTGCCGCAGGGCAGTCTGGTGGTCCTGCACATAGCTCTCCCTGTGCCTGACCTGCTGCCTGGGTCTAGAATGCTGTCCTTCTCCTTCAGCACTGTGACTGTGTGGTGAAGGAAGCTCACCGAAACTGGAATTTCAGTGAGGGCAACAATACTTACTGTTGCGTTGCATATACTCAATTCAATTCAACTTTATTGTCATTAAACTTACACAGGTGCATAGTATAATGAAAATTGTTTCTCATTAGTCACTCAGGTGCATTATATAAATAGGACAGAAGACATATATATGGTGTTAACAATCGTAAAATAATGACACAGTCTGGTATTCTGTCCTCGTAGGATGAATTGACAACTACATGTACAGTGTGTGCAGAGACACATTTACGATTACAGTTCAGACCTGCCTGGCCGAAGCAAACTGTAGCTTTTCAAGTCTGAACTGGTCAGATATTTGCCACCAGAGGGCGTATGTGGTCAAACATCTTTTGATTTATTAATTAAAAAAATCTAACTTCATGATAAGATGTTTTTTTTTCATTTGTCTCAAAATAACATTACAATTTTGACAAAATATGACTCAATAAATCTCTTTAGAATTTGAAGACATTTTAAACATTCTGAAAATAGTTTTTTACATTTTTATGACAGAACAACTGTAGAGAAGTACAAATGGTCTGTATAAATAATATTTCATCTTCATACTTCATCTATGTAGTACTTAATTATTTTATTGTAGGGTTGAATCTGCTTTCTTTCTTTAGGTAGAACAACTATACATTACTAAATTACTTTTGTCTGCAAGTGCATCGAAGTCCAACTAAGATTGGAAACCTGACCTAAAGCCATTTTCTTTAATATGTCAGTGTGGAAATACTTTATTGAATTCTGACCTCGGTTACCGAATGAAAGTGATGTAAACACTGATCTGTGTGATGGAGTGGATTTTCACTCTCATTCAGAAGGTAATGGACAACTTTCAGAACTTGGCTAGTGGCTGTAATTCAAATATCTCTGGCTGCACATACTGTACATGGGTTGTCAGAAATCTGGAATATAGTGTTGTCTGATTTGTTTGGCTTTTAATTCTGGAACAGCAACAGGACTTGGTCCCAAAGAATAAAGTAATTTAACTATATACATTTCTCTAATTCTAATAGATAAAAGTGCAAATAATTTACCATCCAGTGTTTTAACAGGCTTTCTGAAACATTCAAACATTAGGCTTTGAAAGGCTCATGTCATGTTGCATAATATGTTCTGGTCTTACCCTGTTCTCATCAAAGCCTTTAATCTCTGATATCTGGCATATTTTCAGTTTCAAAAGCTGGACAGCAATCCTTCTGCTGCCAGGTTCTTTGGTTTTACCACGTTAACATTTTAATTAAACTCCATCGCACACAAAGCACATGCATCAACATCTGTGACTGAGTTGTTAAATCTGATTTGAAAAATACATTTCTACCTTTAATTTTCCTTTTTGATTCCTTTTTATAAATTTGGTTTAATCTTTTTCAAAAAGAATATGAAGCACTTTGATGTCATACATTAAGTGTGTTATTTAAAATAAAGGTTACTTTCATTATTGTCAAAGTGAAATATTATACAAACCATATTTATATGAAGCAGGATTTGACAGCAACAGTTGTGCATGTATGGTATGATGTATATATCCAATGCTAAGCACATGTTTCAAGCAAACATCTACCTTCATCCATGTCTGTTTCTTTTAAGTTTCCTAAGTCTGTTCTTTCACTAATTCCAGTTGTCTGTACCAGCAACAGGTATGTAGGACCTGAAAACTCCAAGCATGTAAACTTCTCAGTAATTGCTTTAGAACTTCCTTTGCTCCGCATCCTGTAAGTGCTGCAAGCATACATGTGAGCAATGTTTTTCACAAGAGATTGTGAAAGACTGACGGCGAAGATTTAATAGCATGTCTAGTTATTTCTAGTTGTACGATTGTGTTGTAAGAACCTAGTTAAATAACAGGAGAAAGCAGAACTTCAAAATAGGAGAATTAACTGTTGATTTTGTGTCTAACAATGTCCGACAAAGCAAGCAGTGCTAACAGCTCTACCAGGCCAGAGTCTGCTGGTGTAGACATCACTGGTAAAGTGTCATGCATCCACAGTCTCACTCATACAAGAGAAAATGCCAGGAAGGAAGAGCAAGGATGACAATAAAATTCTGCTATGTTGTTGGTTCTAGGCACCCCCTCATTCTATCAAGCATGTAACCAGCTAGGGGGTGTTGAGAGAAATCATTGCGTTTGCTGTTGAAGGAGATTAGTGTCCAGACACAGGATCTTTTGTGTATCTTGGTACTGTGGTAAATAAAGACCATCAAACCTTCGATCTTCTAATACTGTATGTGTCTGTTTTAAGGTCCACTGCAGATTGTCTGAGTCGCGTTAGAACACATTGCACAATTCTCAGTCATATTCCTGCTTCTTTGTGTTTAGATGTTTGTCCAACAGCTGTGATAACTGCCACAAAATCCAGACTCTGCTGGAAAAAGTGAAAGTAATGAAGAAGGAAATTAAGACACTCAAAGGGCTCCAAGTGACTTTTAGGAACCCAGTGTTCAGGGAGGTGTGCAACCTAAACTATCAACAAACATGGAGAACTTTAGTGACAGAAGAAAGTTCCAAGTAGTGAAAGAAATAATATTTCAACAAGCCACCCAACATCGCACTAGACAAGGGAGCTCAGTGCAGCATCTCAGAGGACTCATCCATCACTGATCCCAAATCTCACAGGTCTCACCTGCAGTCGAGGCAAAGGCCATCCATACAAGCAGAACGAGTTCATTCTTCATCCTTGTACTCAGCAGACAGTATGTCTCGATGACATCTAAAGTTTCTCATACAAGATTAGTTCCCCAATTACAGGCCCTAGGTTTTCATAGAAATGTGTGTTTGTATTTGTTAGGATCAGTAAAGAGAAAACAGTAAAAAATCAGGAGGGAATGTTCGCATTGGAGTGATGTAATTGGTGGAGTACCACAGGGATGTGTACTAGGATCACTGCTGTTCTTGATTTATATCAGAGCTGGAGATTTTGGTATGATTAGTAAACTAGTCAGGTTTGAAGGTGATGCTGTATTAGGAGGATTCCCAAAACTGCAGATTAAATAAAATATAAATAAACTTCAAGACTAGTCAAACACTTGACAAGTGCAGGGTTTTATATACAGGTAGTCAAAACATTAACTATAAATACAAAATTGGAAACATTCAGTTGACACATCATTCACATCTAGATAAATTCTGACAAGCTCAAAGAACTGAACCTTTAGTTGTTTTAGAACAAAGATGATCAACGTTCAAAATCCTCAAGGCTTTTGAGGACAAAGTCAACCCTGCACAAATCAAGAGAGCGCAAGTGAAAATTTCATGGAAAATGGATTAAAAACAAGAACTGAAGCTACTTCTTTATACAAATGTTTGTGGACCTTGAGATAATCAAGAAAGTAGACTTTTAAAGTTTATATTTTTAAATTTTAAATACATATGATGAGCAAGTTTGCAAGAACAGGCATATGACTGTTCACTATAACAAAATGTGAAGCACAGTTCCTATCTGCACTGATTTGAAATGCATGAAAGTAATCTCTTTACGTTAAAAGAGCTACAGCCTGCCTACACATTTTGCAAGTTTTATTTCAGGATATCCACAAACCATGAGCATTATTCTTTTCCTTCCCCATTCTTTGTGTGAAACACTGTTTACGTAGAAAATTATAAGGAACAGGTGATGAAAGTTAGAGCACGTTCAATCTTCATATACATTACATCTGAAATGAAACCTACTGGAATACAAAAAAACATTAAATTAAGGTGAAATAGTTAAATATCACATTTTAATTGGTTTATTAAACCAGTGTTGGGATAGGTTACCTTTAATATGACTGCCTAGAGCAATAACATAGTATTTGCTCACAAAGGATGCTGCTAATCACAGTATTTATTATGTTGTCCACATTTGTAGACTTCCTTGTTTGAAGTGGTCATATAGTGTTTGACAAAATAAAGGTGTTTTGCAAAACAAAATGTCTAATATCTCTCTAATTAGCATCTTGAATTGAGATCTGTTTAGGTGAGACAATGACATCATCAGATAATAGGTAGTAATTGTCAGTCTTTAACCCATTTAACAGACCGACAGAACAGAAACGTGACAAAACAGGTAAGTGTAGGAAATACT